GCTGGGGCTCGGGGAAGTCCTCGGTCATCCTAACAACTGCGCCTACGTGGGGCCAGGGGCCAGCACCGGCCAGCACCGCTCGGGACCGCCCCGCCCTCCAGCCAGTGCGACGTGGAGGTCTTCATTCTGTGCTTGGGCCTCTGAACAGGGCCCTAGGGTGCAGCGGAGGGGTGCATTTCTTGTCCTGATTGAGGGGGGTGCTTGCAGGATTTGTGGGTATAACTAGCAGTTCTATGCCAAGTGCGAACATTTTGTCTCCTAGGGATTTCTGCCGTCCGTCAGGTCACCTGCCCGCCTCATCAGGCACAGGCGGAGACCCTCGTGCCACCCGGGGCACACCTGTGCCAAGGCACAGACACTCCCCAAAAGGCCCCAGAGGGTGTTTCAGGGACTCCTGGGGGGCAGGGCCAAAGCTTGTCTTCAGCGTGTCTCTCTCGCCTTACAGATACGGGGTGTCTCTGGGGGCCACAGTATCCTCACTTACATCATCACCTACCGGCTGGAGCCCTCTCCCAGCTCTCAGCAGTGAGGGCGTGGGAGGAGCCGGGAGGGTTTGGGGCTCCCGGGGTCTGGGGCTCCCGGGGTCTCCCCTTCGACGTTTCATCCCGCACTGCTGAGAATCAGATTCTTCAGGGGGCTTCGGCTCTATGTGCTCCCCCGGTACCCCACTCACTCTCTTCCTGTCCCCCAGGGGCCATCTATGTCCCTGCTCACTCTTCTCAGAAATATTCAGGCGCAGCCAGCGGGATCCCACAGCAGCCCCTGTGGCCCCTGGGGACCACCATCTGCCCAGCTGTGAGCCCTTCAGGCGCCTGAACACCCAGGGCTGGGGAGCTCCCACCTTCCTTCCCCAGGCAGAGTCCGGGGGGGACGCTGGACCTGCAGGGGACCCAGCAGCTCCTGCGGCCTGGGAGGCATTCTGGGGGGTCCCCTGGTAAGACCGGGCCAGTGGGAGCCGGCCAGTGGAAGTTGGGCTAACTTTTCAGGCTGTGATGGCCATGATGCTGCGGTCGGGACCTCCAGGTCTGGGGAAAGTTGCACAAGAGCTCCTGAGAGTCCCGTGGGGATGGAGTGGGGGGTGGAGGGGGGCGCAGAACTGCCCAGAACTGCTCAAGGCTACGGAGGCGGCCAAGGGGAGCCAAGGGTCTCACCATGAGCTGCTGGTCTTTGGAGTCCCCGTTGTCCTTCATGCTTGCGGCAGGTGGAGGGGTCAGGCGGCGACAGCGGGCATGCCCGAGTCGCACCCCCTCCGCC